AAAGACAAAAATAAACGAAATTTTAAGTTTTTCAATTGATTACTTTATTCAAGTTAATAAATAATACTCCAGTATCATTTTAATCTAATAATGCATTTTAGAACCAGTGCAACGTCTATTGACCGAAAAAGGTAGACTTCAAGAGAAAGCTTTACTAGAACTTGAAATCTAATAATGCATCCCAACATGCAGTATTTTCAGAGACCGTACCTTGCTGACCGAGAAAAGCGGACATTGAATTTGAATTTCAAGTTGATCATCTCCATTGATTCTTTGGAAGTTTGGAAATTCCGAAGCAAATATCTGCACTTGCTTCCATTCAGAAACTTCTAATAATTGCAGAGATGGGCATTTAATATGCATTCGATGGCAGAAACCCTTGAGCTTCGGTAGCCCGCCAAGCGCCAGTTTTGTCAATTTCGAAAACACGAACTCGGTGTCAGTTTCCACCAACGTCGGCTGAGTGTCTACCAGAGCTTGTGAATGGCTAGCACTGGGTGCTTCAACTATTTCTTCTAGTGAATCACACTCGAGAATACACAGATCGTCTAGTCTCTGAAGTCTTTCCAGCATACTAAATGGGAAAATGCTCACTAGCATTTCACACCAACCTATACCAATGGTGTTTAGTTTGCAAAAGGAATCTCCATCAAGTTGATCAGCCCATATTTTGTTCAAACTCTCCATCCAATAGATCATTAGGTACTCTACTTGAGGGAATGCTACCTACAGATTTTATTAGATTGCATTAATAGCTAAGAAGTCTAAAAGAGATAGGATAGACATAGTAGAGACGATCGAAACACAACTTTAGAATTAAAATGGAAAGGCTGTATTATAAGACACGAATAACTGTAAATTAAAGGAAAAACGATAGTAAGAATCACCTTTTCATTGAAGAAAGGTGGCGCGTTGGTGTTTTCTGCTTTCTCACTACTGACTGCAGTGTCTCCAATAACAGGACTAGAGGTGAATGTCTTTAACATAGGGCATTTGCCTATTTCAAGTCTTGTAAGGTTGGGGAATTCAATGCAATTTTCAGGACTGAATCTTGTGAGTTTGGAAAGGCCTTCAAGTACCAGGGCTTGCAAATTAGGGAACAATATCTTGTTGCTCCTTTCTTCTTCTGCCAATCTGTCTGCCACGATTACCCCTTCCATCATCTTGCAGTTTTGAATTGTCAGTGATTCAAGATGCACAAAACTTTTAATCATAGAGCATGTCAATAGGTATCTCAAATTATCACAGCCATCCACAGTCAATTCTTTTAGTTTTTGAACAAAAGAAGGCATTTCTGGAGCCCGGTTGTGCCAAATTTGTTGACAGTTAAGAGACATACTTAAGAACTCCAACCTTGTAAACTTAATCTGCAAAGAGATTCTATTTAATTAAACACTATTTTTTTCTCTAATCAAAAGTAAACAAAGTTATTTTTCTATCAGCTGCAATGACAACTCAGTTTTATCAATTAACTAATTAAAACAAGAACGTGAGAATTAATAATAAACCAGCAATATGAATATAATATGTGCATAGATCTATGGAGTGACAGTACTCAACTCTGTCTGTCCTTTTGTAATATTGTCAAAATATTGTATCAAATCAAAAAGTAGTAAATAGGAAAAAAGTCAATAGCTTCTCACAAAACCATTTCTCAATGATTTTAGTTTGCCAAAAAAGGAACGAATAGGGTTTGGTATGGCATAAGATCTGGAAGTTTTTCAAGTAGGAGATAGACAGGCCTCCAAGCTGGGAATGAAATGCAAACTACAAAATTCATCATTACAGGAAAAGGTAAGGGCAATAATTCTTTCGAAAGTTAGAAAGCAGAATGCATTGAAATGAAGAGAACTTACCTGTTCATTGAAGAGAGGCTTTATGTCAGTGGCTATATCTGTACTCATAGAGTTAACCATGAACTCCTTCAATTTTGGACAGTTTAATATGGTCAATTGCTTCAAGGATGGGAATGCCATGATGCAATTTCCTGAGTAGATTCCAACAAGGTTTTGAAGGTTTTCTATGTGCAAGAAGTCCAACTTGGGGAAAGAAATCTCCATTTCTTCCACATTCTCTGTCACAATAATCTCTCTCATATTCTTGCATTGATTTATTTTGAGGTGTCTAAGC